TCAGTTATGATGGCAGAGCACAAAATACAAGGAGACCCTGGCTGGTGTAGCTCAGTGGATTGAGCGCGGGCCTGAGAACCACACGATCGCAGTTCAATTCCCAGTCAGGGCACATGCCTGGGTTGCAGGCAGGTTCCCTGCAGGCCAGTTCCCAGCAGGGGACGCGTAAAAGGCAACCATACATTGATGTTTCTCTCCCTCTCTCCTTCCCCCCTTCCCCTCTAAAGATAAATAAATAAAATCTTTAAAAAAATACAAGGAGAAAAATCTTAAAAGTTGACAGGACGAAAAGAGAGATCAGCTAAAAGGAACAACTGGACTGGCAATCACAGTGGAACAATAATTTAAGATTGCTAAGAGAAAACCACTGTCAATGTAGAATTTGATATCTACTTAAATTCTGTACACTGTATTCAGAAGTAAGGGTGAAATGAGGACATTTTCAGAAAATCCCAAACTGAATGAGTTATCACCAAAGCATACTCGTTAAGGGCATTTCTAAGAGTATACATTGGGATAAAGAAAAAATGATCCCAGAAGGAAATTTGAGATTTATAAAACAACAATAATGTCTAGTTTGGAGGTTTAGAAAAAGATGGTGCTAAAATACTGGATAATAATGACTTTTAAGACAAGAGGATGGTGGTGATTAGCATTCTGACACCCTTGGGTGGTGGAGCTATTCTGATGTAGACTTTAAGTACACATGCTAAAATTTAAGAGTCATCACTAAATAAAAATAGAGCATATAACTTCCAAAACAATAGAGAGGAAAATGTGGAATCAATCTGAGAGAACACAGGAAAGGGGGGGAAAGACAATGGAAAAAGCAGGAGAGAGAGCATAAAATAAAATGCTAAAGAGAATTCCATACATCAACAGTTAAAATCATAATAAAGTATAAGTGGTCTAAACTCACTAGTTACACCAAAGATATTCTCAAACTGGATTGAAACAAAACAATCCAGATATCTGCTGTATTCTAGAGAAAACCTAAAACACAAAGACATGATATATAAGAATAATTAACGTTAGCTACTGTAATGAACAATCTCTAAGCTCGCTGGGGCTTAACACAACAAAGTTTGTTTCTTGTTCACATAACGGCCCATCAGGTCCAGTTGCTTCTTTGGGTGCCACCATTTCAATCAGTGACATAGGAGTCTGAGACCTTTTAATACTAGCTCTACCACTTGGGAGTTCTTTGCCTGCAGACACGTGAAGGGGGAAGACAGCACAGAGAAGATCACGCATGCCACTTTTGCCAAGTCTAGAAGTGGCATATATCACGTCTGCCCATATTCCTCTGGTGGTTCCAATATAATTGTAAAAAGAGCTGGGAAACGTAGTCCTGTGTTCACAGGAAGAGAAAATGGAATCAGCGAGCACCTAGCCAGTCTCTGACGCACAAAAAGGTTGGAAATAAGAACAGATGCGGAAGGATATGCCAGGCAGACAATAAGCAGAGGAAAGCTAGAGTCGTTCTGCTCACATTGCACAAACTATTCTTCAAGGCAAAATGCATTAACAGGACTAATGATAGTAACTACATAAAGATAACAGATTCAATTCACCAGGCAGAGATGTAGCTAATGACGCCTTCAAATAACATACAGCAAAAATTGACAGAATTATTAGGAGAAACTGGCAAACCCACCACCATGAAATGGAACATATGGCCTTCTTAGTCATTGACGTCACACAGACCAAAAATTAGTAGCATATAGAAAATATAAATAATACATCTAACAAACTGGATCGAACAGACATGTATAGGGAGAAGTTTTCAATCAGTAATAATTGCACCTTGGATAAGCCTCATGGGCCATGATAATGCCACGACACAATGCTGAAAAAGGGACATGTATAGAATCTTGTATTCAATGACAGAGAATGAACATTTTTCTTTCTCTACACTGGATGCTTCTTTCTTTTCTTCATTAAGAGTGCAAGAATCATTTGTCCAAACTGGACATATACTTGCCTATAAAACCAGCCTTAAAAAGTTTTTCAGAATCAGCATCATACAAATCATGTTCTCTGATTACAGTGGACTTGTTAAAAAATAAATAACAAGCAATCCCAAAACGAAAGATGACCAAAGGAAAGAAAGATGTGTATGAAGACATTTACTCTAGTGTTAATTACCTACAATAGTGAAAAATTAGAAGTGCTGAAATACCCATGATATGGCTAAGTAAATTATGCTTCATTGACCCAATGGGCTATCATGTGGCCATTAAAATTATTTTTAAGTGGACTATGTTTAATGTACATTAAGTGAAAATTTTAAATCTACAGGGGTGTTATGATCTGGTTTCTCTTCAGATTACACAAATCTTTTGCCTTTTTAAATCTACAGGGGTGGGCAAAAGTAGGTTTACAGTTATAAGACAAATCATACAATAATTAATAACAAATAATACAACAATAAACTGTTTCATATACTCACGACTATAAACCTACTTTAGTCACCCCTGTATATCATTTATGATTACAACCATGTGAAAGCCTGTGTGCATTTAGACAGATTAGAAAGATATAAACAAATGAAAACATCTGTTACAGTGATGAGATAACGTGTAATTTCACTTTTAAAAGGATTTTCTATGATGCAGTTACACTGTTTAATGGGAATGAAACGAATCAGTAGAAGATAATCTCTGGCAGTTGATGCTAATTATGTCTTAATATCCATTATCCTGTTCCTTTTTTCCTCAAAGATTTTATGTATTTATTTTTAGAGAGAGGGGAAGGGAGGGAGAAAGAGAGGGAGAGAAACATCAATGTGTGGCTGCCTCTCCTGTGCCCCCTACTGGAGACCTGGCCCACAACCCGGGCATGTGCCTTGACTGGGCATCAAACTGGTGACCCTTTGGTTCACAGGTTGGCACTTAATCCACTGAGCCACATCAGCCAGGGCTATCCTGTTCTTTTATAAGAACAGAATTTTAGTTTGATACGTAACTGCCCAAAATAAGAGTACATTTCCCAGCCTCCCCTGCAGCTGGGAGGAATGCAGCTGGCATTATGATGGGACAAAGGCATAGCTAATACGAGAAGTGGCTGCCCTTGAACAGACTCTTTAGTCCGTTCTTCCTGTGTCATTTTCCTTCATCATGTTACCTTAAATCTCCCTTAGCTTTATTATTGTACATCCTATGGGTAGACTGGGTCTGATACACATTTGATTGAAATAGGGACTGATTCATAATTTAACAAATGAGAATATGTATGACTCATGAGGTAAGTATGTGTTTTCTATTCAGCCAGTGTCCAGAACAAGCTCTGAAAACAAGGGGATTATCTACCCCATGTTTGGAGATCAAATGAGGATATATTAATATTGAAGAGCACACATTTATGTTAAATATATTCTAGGGGGAATCACACACATTTACTCCAATATTCTTTATCATTTAAGAGAATGTTTTAGGAGAGAATGAGATCCATTTATAGGCTGTTTTGCCTGAGTTAAAGCAGTGATCAACGTCCACATTTTAAATGTGAAACAGAATAAAAAACTCTATTTTAAAAGTTAAATAAATAATGCACCTTGTTTAACTATGACAGTGTCTGGTAAGGTTTGATCTAATCCAATAGCCAAAATCACAAAAATATCAATGATTTGTACTATATCGGGAATGAGGACTTATCAATTCAAAAGGAAATTGATAAATATTATTCAAAATAGTCTTCATACTTGAAAAGTATCCAAAATACAGTATTAAAGCAGATGCAGTACTCTGTCCCAAGAGCTTACAGTGCTCAGTAATGATTAGGTATGCTACATCACGCTGACTGTAGCAACAAATTCATTACTAATTTTATTATAATCGAGAATAGGTCAATCACACAAGCTGTTCTGTAAAAACAACATGCTACTAAAAACAAAGACACTGGAGGCTGACTCTGCAGACGCCTTTTATTCTGAGAGTTCTAATATTTATGCTAAGCACGACCTGGTTAGATATTTGTTCAAAATGAAGGAAAATAAAAATCGAGAAATGTTCTAGGGATTAATTTACTCATCATTTCTCAAACAAAACTGGAGGGCATCTAGTTGAAATAATTTATTCAGATTAAAATTCTGTCAGTAAAAAATATTTGTATCCATGGTAATACAAAAAGGGCTTAAAAATCTGTCACGCGTTTGGTTAAGAAAGCATACCGAGGCCTTGGCTCTAGTTTGTTTTCCTTTAGGACTCATATTTAAATCACTTAGAGACAGACAAGCAAATTACTAAATAACTTGGTTTTCTGTTAATTAGCTGTGCATTGAAATGGTGGAAAATGATGACTACACATCTGTTCATGACAAGCACATGGTCCCTTTTTGTTTTCTTCCAATTTGTCATTCAATTTCAGTTCCTTAATGTCCAGTGTCCAAAGATGAGGAGAAGACAATCGTCTCTCGGTACTTTTCACCTCCTGTCTCGCTGAGGTGCCCAGGTAGAATGATAAATAAAAGTGGGAAGTGTTTTATATTTGTTTTTTACTACTTTATGTTTTTATATTTGACTTTTTATACTTAGCATCATCTCAAAAATGCATAGCATATTTTTAAGAGATTAAAAAGTGATACATGAATATACATATATGTATGTATGTTCACTATAAATATTCCTACAACATAGGAGTATACTGAAGCAGAATTTATGCAGTATGGATTTTAAGAAGTTCAGATAGAAGGCAGAACTGACTTCCTCTTTGAGAAATGTACCATTAGAGATGTGCTGACTCATCAGTGTCAACATACAGGGGGTTGGGGTTTTTTTTGGTTTGTTTGTTTTTGCCAGCTCATGAAGTATTGATCAGGTTTAAGAATTTCAAAAATATGTGTTACCACAAGAACTGTAGCTCTAGACTATCATACAAGTTATATCACAAGGGTTTTTCAGCCTTGAACTTGTAGATTAGAAAAATTCTACTTATGGAAGTAGAATTATTTACAGGTTGCACATTGTCCAAACAATGAATTCAGTACAGGTTGAACTTACAGTCCCCACAGAAGTGTTTATTTCTCTTGCCATTCCATAAGCTTTTTTCATTTTTTCAACTTTCATTTTTGCTTGCTTGGATCGACAACCCATTTGTTTAATCTGACTTTGCTGTTGGTGGGGCCGATATAAAGTTTGGTTCCTTGACACATACGAACTGTACCTAGGAAATATTTGTATTACAGACAGAAAAATTGCACAAAATAAAATTTAAATATATAGCAAGTTCCTAATTTTCTTAAAGCATCCTCTAACAAATATATCATAGACCTCAGTAGTTGCAGTAATGCTGCATGTATATTTTTAGGCCAAAGTTACCATTTCTGTTTGAGTGACACAGCACAGTTCTTTATCTGCTATGCTATGATGACAGTGATGATGATAATGATGAAAATTACAAAACATCGTATCAGTTTAAAATCAGTTTTCCTGGAAAATACCATGTAGTAGCCATTAGATTTTTTTTTTACTATACACTAACACAAAAAGGTATTAAATTTCGTAATGGGTGAAAAAACAAACTTTTGAAAATCAGTGTTGGACTCAGATATAGTTGGTAGCACACCCACAGTCCATCACCTTGGCCTTACTGCTGCAGGGCACATAGGCCCGACTTCCACCTGCTAGCGGGGGCCTCACTCAGCCTGAGAGCTTTCTTGTGAAAACAAAAACCCATGTGCGGGGAAACTGCCTGAGAATTAATACCCTCTCTCCTAAGCAACTCTTAACCAGCGACTAGTGGGCATTGGTATATAGCTATCCCGACTCCTTTGGCCCTGCGGGATAACTGGAGTTACGTGTTCTATAGTGGTTCAGACATTCCCAGGAGAGATTAAGCTCCAGTTACCCACAGTGGTAACTTGCTAGCTGACCCACCCAGTTTTGGCTGCCTGCCCTTTCCTGTTTCACTCTTCTACCCCGTCTCGTCAGAGGTTCCTGGGATTGCCTGTCCAACTACTCTTACTCCAATCCTTGTCTCATGGTTTGCTTCTGGAAGATCCCAAAGTAAGGCTACCTTCAAAGAACCCTTTAAAAAAGTGCTTTTCACTCTTCAGTTGATATAGAATTCGACTGCTTATTTGGCTCTTTAAAGCGACTTATTCTTGGATAATCAGTAGCATGTACCCAAACAGCAAGGAGTCTAGGGTTACATATGGTGGCAGAGAAAATCATGCCACTTATTTGATCTTGGCGGTATTAGGGTTAAGTTCTATATTCAGTGCTTATATGGATGAGCTAGTGTAAATCTATTTCATGACAGACCACCTGCACCCTGCACCAGGCCATCCATCTGGCAAATGTATGGCCTTGATCATAAAAATAAATGGGCTAAATTATGTTATTGAATCAGCACCACTCATCTCTTCTCCTGGAAAAAAAAACAAACCCAGCATGTTTGTGTGACAATGGGTCACCTGTGTCTTCTTCAGGTACTAAAGGAGTATTTTTCATTTTGAATATGACTGTGTGAAGATGGACTACCAATAGGTCCTCTTCTGTCTTATTATCTCTTCTTCTTAAGAAAGAAAGCTTAATCTGTAAACAAGATAGGCTAGGTGAGACTTGGTAATGGAAAGAAAAAAGAAATGTAATTGGAGCAGTCATATTCTGTTCATGTTGCTTCGGATCATAATATAGTCTATTTTGCTACAACATGCATTTCTATCATGTGAATTGGCTCACGTGCTACTGGTAAAGAAGGGAATAATGTCACTGTAATTTATATGCAATTTATCTTCAGCAAGAGGAGCCGGTATAGCAAGAGCAGAATTGTAACCTTCAGCAGAAAGGAAAACATCCTTAGCTCTCTGCAGCATAGGCAAAGGGAGCCCTTCTGGCTGTATTTTAAAAACAACCATTAGCATTTGCACCTAGGGCTCTCTCCCTGGAGAGGGGTCCCACTCCCACACTCTCCACCCATACGATCTCCACCCTACACCCCACCTTGGGTGGCTCTTGGTTCATGACAAGTCGAACTGCCTCTCATGTCCACTTAAAAGGCAACCACACTGGACTTGGGCTCCACTTCCATCTGCACTATCTCAGTGCTTACAACTTGCTCTAATTCAAGAGTTGTGCCCTGGCTGGTGTGGCTTAGTGGATTGAGTGCCGGCCTGAAAACCAAAGGGTTGCCAGTTGGATTCCCAGTTAGGGCACATGCCTGGGGTGTAGGCTAGGTCACCAGTGAGGGGTGCACAATCGGTAACCACACACTGATGTTTCTCTCGGTCTCTTTCTCCCTCCTTTCCCCTCTGTCTAAAAATAAATAAATAAAATATTTTTAAAAAAGAGTTGGCTAGCATTCCTACCCTGTTGTACATTTTAAATATTTGCTGTAGGGGCCTCCAGCTATCCTGAACTGCCTGGCTGGTGATACGAGTTATCTCCCCACGTCCCAGTTGTCCTTTTTGTTGGTGCTGTGTTTGCAAAGTTGCATAAGTTTTGAGCAATCTGCCCCAACCCTATTTTTCCCATATGCCCTATTTGTTTTTAGTCCTCACCTGAAGATACGTGCTTATTGATTTTAGAGAGGGGGAAGGGAAGGAGAGGGGGGGAGAAACATGGATGTGATAGAGAAATGTCAGTAGGCTGCCCCTCATCAAGCACCCCAAGGACTGAACCCACAACCCAGGTTGCAGGAATTCAACCTGCTACCTTTCAGTTTGCAAGAGGATGGCCAACCAACTGAGCCACACTGGCCAGGGCCCCATACCTTCCATGAGTTATTTGGCAGAATGTGACCATGCTCAGTAATGTCCCTGGGATTGTAACCCCAGTGAGGGATCGCTTTTACCTAACTTCAGAAGCAACATGTAGCTGGTCCTGGAGTATGTCTTCTGTTTGTGGTCTCTGTAACAGATGCTTCGCTTCTTTTCATAGACGGTTTGAGATTATTCCCAATTCTGCATACATTATCCTTGTCCTGGGAATGTCATCGAGGCTTACTCTTCTGCAACTGTTATTTCTTCCACCAGAAGATGCAGGGATCTTATCCAGTAGGCTACAATACTACAGGGAGGGGCAAAAGTAGGTTTACAGTTGTTGAGTATGCAAAACACAGTTCATTCTTATATTATTATTTACTAATTATTGCATTATTTTCCACATGAACAACTGTAAATCTACTTTCCCCCACCCTGTATATGGGAAAAACAATTTTAAAAAATTGGTTGTGGATGCTCCAGAACAGGGGTGTCAAACTCATTTTCACTGTGGGCCACATCAGCCTTCAAAGGGCCAAATGTAACTTTAGGACTGTATAAATGTAACTGCTCCTTAACCAGGGGCAAGGAGCTATGCTCCAGAACAGGGGTGTCAAACTCATTTTCACTGTGGGCCACATCAGCCTTCAAAGGGCCAAATGTAACTTTAGGACTGTATAAATGTCACTGCTCCTTAACCAGGGGCAAGGAGCTCGGCACTGCTGCCGGGTAGAAACAAGGTGCTGGACCGGGTAAAACAAGGTGGAGGGCCGCATTCAGCCCGCAGGCCTTGTGTTTGCCACCTGCGCTCTAGAAAGTTTTTTAGAGATAATTCCCAAGGTTCCACTCAAATGCCACTTCATTCAAAAAGCATTCCTTGGTCACATCTCTGAATTTTACTGGCATCTCTCTTCTATGACTCTTATTACTGACTACCTGATGTTTTAACTGTATCATGCATGGAATACCACACTCAGTAAGTATTTCTTTAATGCATAAACATTTTAATGGCAAATATAACTCAGATAAATTGAACTCAGTATGACCCTAAAAACTGATATAGCTATGTGATTTTCATTCCTGGTCGTGCTCCTTCATGACACGCGTGGGTTGAGATGACATTTGCAGAAATCTTTTTAGAAATGAGTTCATCTCTGGTGCTAAGTGGCGAATTGCGTTATTATCATTTGAAATATTTCTAGAAATCACACTTTTGAAGAATTTTAAAATACAACATTAGGACTTAAAAATGCAAAGGCGAAGATATAATTCATTCAACCTCATGAATGCTCATTTAGCCACTACGAGCAGGGAGGGAGGATCCATGATGCCAGGAAATGGAGTAACAGCTGGGCAGTTAGGGTACAAGGGCCCCCCCATGTATGCACTCTCTCTCACACACATGTGGGCAGTTCTCCCTTTGTATTATTTAGCCATGCGTGAGTTTTCATTATCACCATTTAGTCAAATAAGCCCAGTCCTCCAACAACATGGTTCAAATTTTAGTAACCACAGCATAATTGAATAATTGCATAAAGTACAAACTCTGCTGCCACCTCTTCAGTCCACAGATCACTGCATAAATAACAGATGTGTTTGGCGATTAGTGACAAATCATGTCACTTCTCGAAGTGTGTCAATGACTGGTCACTGTGGATTTGTTATTTGGTTCACAAAAACAGCCAAGTGTGTAGTTATGTAGCCTCTTTGTCTCCCACTGACCAAAAAAAAAAAAAAATCAAAAGAGGTAGCAGCCAAAAAAGAAACAAAAAGTGGTAATGCTGGAGGTAAAATTCAGATAGAATGTAAATGGAATTTTAGAAGAAATAGGGGACCTGGGGTGGTGACACTGTCATCACGGAAGAGACTGCAGAGAGGCAGCGGGAGGAAGTTAGTGAAGGTGAAGTTATCCACATAAATGAGGAAAGTGGCTGTAACCAGAAGGATTAAGCGGTTGCAGAGGAAGTGACGCTAGCAAAAAAGACACTTCGCAGCCCAGTACAGGAACTGAGATGTATCACAACGTTTAAAGGCCAGAGGATAAAATGTTGGTGGGTGAGCCATACTCAGAAGTACGACAATTTGCCAAGGCACAGAGAAGATGTTCACTCCGTATTGTAAGTTAGGTAAGGACAAGAAGGCAAGCACTGTTTAAGCTACTCTAGATAAACGGTCTTTGAATAGTTTTATTGAGATTCACATCTCATACAATTCACCCACTTAAAGTGTATAATTCAATGGTTTTTACTATGTTTGCATTTGATAAGTTTAAGTATGATAAACTTGTTTTTTACAAAGAAATAAAACTTTACTTCTTAATGTTTTATAGTATATTAATCTTTCATTTTTTAATTTTCCTATATAACAAATAGTAAGAGTGTTTTTAATGTTTTGACAAGATTTCTTAAAGGCAGGGAACAATCCTGATTTTTCCCATTGATTATGCAGTTTGCTTTGCATCGTTTCAGTCTGCATGGTCCTTTCCATGGCCCTGCACTACTGTGCAAAGTGAGGACTGCCTGTGTGTTTTACTTCCTGAGAGTGGAGGAGTAAACTGGGGAAACATCTCAGAATAGTCAGCGATCTGCTCTGCGCTTATGAGCTATATGACCTTGGGCAAGTTTTTACAAATCTCATTAAACTCAGTTTTTCTCATCTGTTAAAGGGTCCCCTAATTTATAAATTTGAAGATTAAAGGAGATAATACTATGCATATAAAGAGCTAAAAACTATGCTGTGCTCAGAAAGGGCTCAATAAATACCAGCAATCATCATATCTCCCTCTACCAATAAGTTGACCTGGAGACTTTTTTCTATGACACCAGTCCTTGGCATCGTCACAGACTGTGAGTATGAAAGCCATGTCCTTAGCAAAAGACAGTTGGCACCCCCAAGCTCCACTTATTCCCTGGTCCAATGCCCTAAGCTTCTAGGTTAAGGCTTCAAGAGAAAGCAAACAGAATTGGGGGCCCCTGCGGCACTGTGCTAATTTCATATTTCACACTGAAGCAACTGAGTGAAAGGTTAAGGCCATACGTTATTATTATGAGCTAGAATTTTGGGATCCTTCATTCTTTACAACGTGTAAAATAGGGTAATAATAGTACCTACCTCTTAGGGTTGTTATGAGACTAAAAGGAGCTGGTATTACAGTTATGTGCCACGTGATGATGTTTTGGTCAACATATAGGTATAGACTACCTACATGATGGTTGTCCCATAATATTATAGTGGAGCTGAAACATTCCTATCACTTAGTGACATCATAGCTGTTATAAAATCATAGCACAATGCATTACTCACATGTTTGTGGTGATGCTGTGAACAAACCTACTGCACGGCCAGTTGTATAAAAGTATAGCACATACAATTATAGTACCGAGATATACCATCCAGGTTTATATTAAGGAGCCATGTTGAACACCTTCCTTTAGTTTACCGTCCTGTCACCAAGACCCATTCCTTAATAAAAATTTACTTATTGAATTTTTAGAGAGAAGGGGACGAGGGAGAGAGAGAGAGAAAAAAAGATTGATTGATTTGTTGCCCACTTATTTATGCATTCATTAACTGATTCTCACATGTGCCCTGACTGGGGATTGAATCTGCAACCTCGGTATATTGAGACAATGCTCTTGCCAACTGAGTTACCGAGCCAGGGCCAAGACTGACTGCTTTTATTCTCTAATTATCTTTTGCATATCCAGTCTCCCAGCCCTAAACCAAGATACCACCATGTCTCCTAAAAATACTGCAGGAACCTCCGAACTAGGTGAAGGCTGTCACTGTCCTCTAATCCACATTCTGCATTGCTGCCACATGGATCTCCTCACTCACTAGATTTGATCACCTCATTATACCAGCTTCTAGTTGCACACAGAATCAAAATTAAACAAACAAACAAACAAATAAATAAATAATGTCTTCCTATGGTCCAAAGCCCTGCTTGGTCGTCTCTTCCCAGCCCTCTGGCCTGACTACATGCCACACTCTCTGCGCTCTCTCTCCTCCGGTCCACGGACCTGCTCTCTGGCCCTGCATCTCCTCTCGCCACAGAGCCTTTGCCTTGGACACGCCATCTCCTCAGCCCCAGATTGAAGTTGTGACCCATTGCTGATTGCCTACCCATCAGCTATTTCTCACTTTTTCCTTTCTCCTGGAGCCCTGATTTTTTTTTCTAGGTATAGAACAGCAATATTCTCCTGGAAGGAGGGCCCCAGCACATGAACCATGACCCAGTTCTGACCAGTAGGGCCTGGGGGGAGGTCTGTTGGAGTCTTCTGGGAGAGAGTTTTCTTTGTAAGATAAAGAGAAAAAGACTCAAGGAGTAGAGAGTTTTCTTTGTAAGATAAAGAGAAAAAGACTCAAGGAGTAGAGAGTTTTCTTTGTAAGATAAAGAGAAAAAGACTCAAGGAGTCTCCTTCCTGCCTTTGAATGTAGTTGAGAAGGTGATAGTCATCTTGTTATCATGTAAAGGAAGCCGAGAGAGGTATAGAGAAGTTGACCCAGGACCCTGATGTCCATGAGCTGTTTGCTAGTCCAAGACCCTCCTATCCGGGGACTTGAGACATAGGACAATAAATGTCCTTTATTGTTTAAGCCACTTGCAGCTGGAAATACTCTGTTACTTGTAGCAGAAGGCACCCAAACAATAATAGGATCTTCGATATTAGGTCAAATCCCCATGCAGTCTCTTAGCACCATGTATTTATTTTTGATTTTTTATTGAGATAAAATTTAGATAATATAAAATTCACCAATTTAAGCATTTGAAAGTGTATAATCCAGTGGTTTTTAGAAGTTCACATTGCATGTCAGCACTGTTTAATTCTAAAAAATTTCCATCACACAGAAAAGTAACCCCACATTCCTCCGCTATCACTCCCCAGACACAAAAAGCCACAGATTATATGATTCCATTAGTACGAAATCTCCAGAATGGGCAAATTCCAAGACAGAAAGCGGATTAGTGGTTGATAAAGGCTGCAGTGATAGAAGAACAAGGAGTGACTGCTTAATGGATGTGAGGTTTCCCTTTGGGAATGACAAAAAGGTTCTGAAACTAGATGGTGGTAATGTTTGCACAACACTGTGAATGCACTTAATGCCACTGAATTTCACTTTAAAATGGCACATTTTAGCCCCAGCTAGGTGGTTTAGTGTGCTGGAGCATTGTCCCTATATGCCAAGTTGTGGGTTTGATATCCAGTCAGGGCACATACAAGAATCAACCAATGAATAAATAAGTGGAATAACAAATCGATGTTTCTCTCTCTCTCTCAAAAAAAAAATCAAACAATTAAAACTAAAAAATAAAACAGTACATTTTATATTGTGTGTATTTTGCCACAGTAAAAAAATGTATGATTCTTGGAGGGTAAGGTCAGAAGGCTTTTGGTTGTTGTTTGTGTGTTTTCAATATCCAAACCTAAATTCCTGACTCTCACGCCATCCTGCAAGGTGACCATGTCTGTTTCATCAGTTGTTTTGAACTCCCGGGGAAAGACGTTCATCTTGCACAATTTGTTCATGAAACAACTTCTTCCCCAGTAATTTGCAAGCATCAGTGGATGCCTATAAAGAGAAGAGAAAAGAGACTCTTAAAATAGTAGTATAATAGTAATAATTATTAACATGCACTTCGCATGTTTTTCTGACAGATATATCAAATATTGTTCCTTTCTTCTAGCAGTTTGCTATTTAACAAATGGATTATGTTTACAAAAATATTATACAGGGATTTAAAAAACCACTTAAGATTTGTCTCCATAACCACATCTATAGTTTGAAGATGTAGCTAGAGGAGTAGCTGAGTCTACAATCTTTGAAGGATCAGTTTTTAAAAGATGTTTTTTACCCCTTAAAAGCAAAACAAAACAAACCTATGATGCCATTGTGGTGTCCATGCAGAGAACACTTACCTGGTTATTAAACAGGCTGGCTTCAGCACTGCGATGAAAGGTGTTCCTGGGCCAACTCTCTTTTATGTGTTACTTCCTATTCGGCCTCGGAATGGAACCATGTATGTTTCAGATTGTTCAGACCTCCCTCTCCTTCAGACTTCATTCTCAGGAGCCAAAGATTGGCAGACAAAGGGTTTGGGGTTTTTTTTACATTTGGTACTCAAAGAAAGCACCCAAAAGGGCAAAGATAGAAAAACCAAAGAAAATACTGAGGCTCAAATCCCATCTGGCTCTATCTGTACCAAACTCTTCTGTGCACATCAATCCTTGTGCTAAGTCCTATACGCAGACTGTGAGTAGAGCTTTAAGTATTCCCCATCCTTCTCCCCACTGCCCATAAATATGTGCTGTCTCTTCCAGCCCATATTTGTATTACATATCTGTGTTTCTGGCCACAAAGGGTATGCTTATGTGAAGGGAGACTGGTGTAGATGAAAATTCAAATGTCTTTTGATTCCAAATCAGTGTCTCTTTTCCTTTGTAAATCAAAGTATGGGACCTCCGTGTTACATAATGCTGCTAAAAGACCACAGAGGAATGATTGAGATAGGATTGAAACTCAGAATCTGTTCTTTTTACTTAACACACACTACAACAGCAAACCTGTTGTATTTTCTATCCCAATTCTCATTTTTGTTATCTACAATAGTCCTTTTTTTTTTAATTCCAAAGCTTAGAACATAAGACATACATGAAAAATGAAAGAAAATACATGGTGGGGCAAAAGTAGGTTTACAGTTGTGAGTATGCAAAACACAGAGTCTGTTCTTGTATAATTATTTATTAATTATTGTATTATTTCTTTTTTTAGAGATTTTATTTATTTTTAGACAGAAGGGAAGGGAGAGAGAAAGAGAGGGAGAGACACATCAATGTGTGGTTGCCTCTCACATGCCTCCTACTAGGGACCTGGCCTGCAACCCAGGCCACGTGCCCCAGCTGGGAATCAAACCAGCGGCCCTTTGGTTTGCAGGCTGGTGCTCAATCCAGTGAGCCATACCCATCAGAGCTATTGCACTATTTTTTCATGCAAACAACTGTAAACCTACTTTTGTCCCACTCTGTATTCAAATGGTTGTGTGTAGTTTTATTCCTAATGTAATGTACTAAAAGGACAGAAATAGTTTACTAAAAATGTGATGGACCCTTCCTTTAGGCAGATTGTTTTCGTTTTTCATTTCATTAATTTCATTAAGTTTCTTTATACACTGTGCATCTAAACAAAAGGCAGTATTGGCACGTATCTCCATTATGCTTTCTTGTAATTAATTTTCTGTGGGTTCTAATTAGCCATTCCCACAGGGACACCAGAGGTAAAAACAAATAGTTACACACTAAAGGGGACTGAAAAATCATTTAATTTCTGTTTTGAGCACGTCTTTGGATATTATTATATTTTACTTTAGATTGAGTTATTTGAAAAGGTCTTTCTTGTTAGTTCCTCCAAACTCTGTTCCACTCGGCCATCGCCACCAGTCTCTCCACGCCCCAGATTCTTGATTTGTACAGGGCCTCACAGAGGCCCATCCTAGTCTGAGGCAGAGAACCTTCCGCTTGGCCGCACAGGGCGGTTTTGCTGCCCTCTTGTGACAGAGGTTTGAAAAAAGTTTGCCCTCCAATAGCCAAGATGTTCTTTCCCATACGTCTACCCTGTATGGCCAAAGTCAGGAAAGTCCTTCTGGATAGGAAGGGCTGGGGGAGAAGAACCCAGTCCCCCCCAAAAAGGGAAGGGCAAAAAGTAGGCAAGGGATCCAGGATAGCAGCTAATCAGATGAGGATTCAAGAGGCAGGTTCCTTTCTTAGTGGGGGACTCAAAGGGTCAGAGCGGGGTATCTGTAAATTTGACAACTCCCCCGATACCTGGCATCAATGTGGCCCAGAAGCCCCCACAGCCCTGTGCCTACTTGCTGGCCTAGATCCATACTTGGGCCTTATCAAGTTACTCTAATACTGCAAGTCTCATTCCTGCCCAGCTGGACATTCTCAAATCACCAAGGTAATAATGAGTGGCATCTCTGCACAGGAACAGGTTATTGGTTTGAAACGGTTCAATTACATACAGGCTCCGAATTAATCAAACCACCAAAACGCTATCAAAATGTGTACAATACACGGAGATGGATTCAAGTCTCAGTCCTGTGCTGGACAAGCCTCTCTGAGTTTCACCTCCTTCATAGGAAAATGGGGAGTAATGTGTCTACCAGAAGGCTATATGAGAGAACCTATTTATTTGGTGGGGTTCCTGACTCAGGAGTGCTGAAGAGCCTCAGCTCTGGAGTCAGGCTCACTGAGTTTTGATGTCATTTCCTTCACTTTCTAGTTATGAGACCTTGGGCAACTTACTTAGTCTCTTTCAAATGAAGATAACAACAAAATCTGCAGTCTAGAGTTTAGGAGAATTAAATAATGATGCACATAAAATGTTTAACATCATACTTGACAGTGCTCATTAAGGGCAGCTATCATTAATACTAATGTTTTTCCTCTTCACACAAATGCACAATCCTCAAGAAGAATGGGATCTTCAATGGAAAATAACAGCTATTAGATGTTAATGTTTAAGAACTGTCAGTTACCCAGGGGTATTCCAGGCCATGGTGGGGCCATCTTTAGAACAGTGCTCATCAAACTATATTGTTTCTAGGATCACCTGGGTGTCTTGTTAAATGGCAGGTGCTGATTTGGTGGGTCTGGGGTGGGGCCCGAGAGTCTGCATTTTTAATAAGTCCCAGGGGATACCAGTGTTGTGGGTCTGCAGACCACACGCTGAGTAGCAAGGTTTTAGGATATTCTAAATATAGTTGGTGGACTAACTACAGTGATAACCCTCTGTAAATAAGCATTACTTTGAAAATAGATTATTGAAGTAGGTAACTAAAACAAGGTCTCTTTTTTGTGCACATGGCTATCCAATTGTTCTAGCACCATTTTGAACTGCCTTGGCAACTTCAGTGAAAATCGAGTGGCTCTGGCTGGTGTGGCACAGTGGATTGAGCACCAGCCTGTGACCTGAAAGGTCACAGGTTCGATTCCCAGTCAGGGCACGTGTCTGGGTTGCAGGCCAGGTCCCCAGTTGGGGGTATGCAGGAGGCAACTGATTGATGTATCTCTCGCACATTGATGTTCTCCCTTTCTTTCTCTCTCCTTTCCTTTCTAGGGCTAAACAAAATCTTTTAAAAATCAATTGATCATCTTTGTGTAGGTCTATTTCTGAGTTCTCTATTCTACCTCATTGATCTCCATGTCTATCTTTACATTATCACCAAACTGTTGGGATTACTGTGGCTTTTTCTATCTTGATATCAGGTAGTGTAAATTTTCTAACTTCGCTCTTCTCGAAAGTTTCTTAGACTGGCTATTCTACATCTTTTCACTTGTTTTTGCTTGTGTGTGTGTGTGTGTGTGTGTGTGTGTATGAATACACGAAAGATGCCATTGGAAACGGACATGAAACTAGAAACGGCAATAGAAGCAAGAGAAAAGCTGGAATGACAGCAACGATCTGTAAAACACCCCTCCTTCATAAGTGAACTTAGATTAGACATCTGAACGGACTAAAATGGAGTTATTTCTTTCATGTTAAGAAATAAGTAAACTTAGGAAAGCAGGATCGGTTTGCTAAAGACACAATTTCTACATTCAGAGAGCAAAGGAGTTGAGTAAACTTATAGTGAGAAACATTCCACTTCTATCAACCATTAATCCAAGGGTTACCAGAGTTTGTTTTGCAACTGAACTAAAGGGAAAAAGGAACCCTAAATTGTTCTCTCCAAATTGGGTAGTCCTAATCATTTAAAACCCTTATAATGTTTAGTGAAAAACAAGCTGAATGGTATGATCGCATTTTTATAATAAAAAAAACTTAAAAATACATTTGTGGATGTTTTCATGAGGAAAAAATAAAGGATATGTAGCACAGTATTAACAGTAATCACCCCAGGCGAGTGAAAATTGCAGCACAGTAAAGAAAGGAATATTTTCCCTTAAAAAAAAACCCTCTACGCCATTTTCTCTTTTAAACAGCTACATTGTAATCTAAATAAAAATATAAGTTATTATACAGCATTTTTATGAGTTTTAAAATACACACAGTGCTTTCCAGTCACGGCGTCCAAGCTTCTCATTTGCTCCAGCCCAGAGACAGCAGGGGCCTCCAGGAGCTGACCCAGGAGATTTTCAGTTCCTGGAAAGGCCCCATTATATAACCTCAGAAAAGCAGCAATTGATGATCTTTTACAGGGCCAACTCTGAGCTTATTCTGTAGATAAATATGGCATGAACATAAAATAAACATCTACTTTGCATTTGAAGTCATCCTATATAAATGAACATATATTGATGTTTCTGAAACACTACATCTCATGTGAAAACACATAATCCTTACTACATTTCTGAAACTGAGCTAAATTTCCTCTGACACTGCCCGAGAGCAGAAAAAAAGCAGTCTCTTGTCCTTTTCTAATATTCTTCAGAGAATAAAGGCTACATACACATGCTGGATCTGATCAGACACTGCCAGGCTGTGTGGTCTTCTCTCTGTAGTTCATGCCAGTACTGATTATTTCAGATGGGCCCTGCTTTTCATGTAAAATACTTCCGAAAGGCTACAGGAAAGTAACCTTTGATTTATGGCTTATAAAACGCTAAATAAGAGAATGCACACTTTTTTTTTTTACTCAGTTATAGTTGGGTATAAGGCTCAAAGGAGTAAACCCTGTGTTGTAGATCCTTGCTATTACAAATGTGGCCTGTGGACCCGAAGCAGCGGCCACACCTGGGAGCTGGGTGGGTAGGCTCAGTCCCTCCCAGATCTGCTTGAATCCACATCCACTTGAATCCACATCCGCGTTTTAAACAAGATCCTCAGGTGATTCCTCTGCTGTAGACACAACTTTGATGAATGTTCATGAAACTTAAACGTGTAAGAACTCACATAAAAAAGGATAAATATTTTAAAAGCTCATTTCCAACAGTCCAGCATTGTTTTTCTAAATATGCTACCGGACTGAAAAAACAATGATAAAGTATCATTAGACGAAATTGCATCAAATGTTCTGCATAATCTTTAAAGGATTTTATTTATTTATTTTTAGAGAAGGGTAGGGAGGTGGAAAGAGACGGAGAGAAGCATTTATGTGTGGTTGCTTCTTACATGTCCTGCCCTGGGGACTTGGCCCACAACCCAGGCATGTCCCCTAGCCTGGGAATAGAGCTGGTGACCCTTTGGTTTGCAGGCCAGCACTCAATCCACTGAGCCACCAGGGCTGCGTAATTTTTTAAAAAACATTTTATTAATTTATTTTTAGAAAGAGGGGAAGGGAAGGAGAAAGAGAGGGAAACAACAATGTGTGGCTGCCTCTCGCGCTCCCCCTACTGGGGGCCTGGGCTGTAACCCAGGCATGTGCTCCAACTAGAAATCAAACTGGTTCGCAGGCCTGAGCCGCACCGGCCAGGGTGCGAACATAAAATTATGTTCTGCATAATTTTAAAGCTGTGACTAATCGACCACATTAGTCTGTTAAAGGGTAGACAAAAGTGCGTTTACAGTTGTGAGTACATGAAACACAGAGCTTATTCTTGTATTATTATTTATTAATTATTGTACTACTTCATATTATTAATCTATCATACTATTTTTGCCCACCTCTGTATTAACAAACCAAAATTATAATACGAAGAATATTGGTGGTTATTTTCTAAGGCCTTATATAAGTAATTACTTCAAATATTTCTTAGCTAATAAACAGACACACTTTGAAACACACGCTTAAAAATACTGTCTGCTGGGATGTTCCATGGTGAAATAATTTTGTCTGTATACTTAAATGCAATTCAGATACTATCTATCTGCGTTATGATGTTAAGAATTATAAGAAGCTAAATTAACATAAAATGTACATTGTGAAACATCACCTTGCTTGACTACTTTAACATATTTTTCCCACTGAAATACTTGTAAGCCTGGCCTCCAGTGGGAATGAAAATTTTAAACACAATAAAAGGTGGAAATGTTTCACCCCTCAATCTGAAAGAAAGAACAAAAATTTGTCATTTGGCATCAGGTTTGGGACTTCTCCCCCTTGTACTTAAGATATTTCAGTCAAGCAGATCAAGGCTGTTTGAAGGTTGAATCCTGGCTGCCCCACTTACCACCCATATACCTTTGGACAAGTTACAGACACTCCCAGAGCCTCAGCCTGCTCATCTGTAAAATGGGAGTGATAATATTCAAATAATATTGCTGAATCATAAGGATTAAATAAGGTTATGTGAATAAGGCACCTAACATACTATGTGGCATGTAAAATGTGCTTAAAAGCTAGTAACAGAACTATTACCACCCTCATTTTACAGTGATTCATTCAACATTAAATACTGGCTACGCACCTGCTGGGTTCCAGGCAGTGCACTGGATGCTGGGAACACAGCGGTGAAAAAGGAACAGTGCTCCTAACTTCATCAAGCTTGCAGTCTAGGAGGGGACACAAAGGAGTTTGTAGTCAATTACCATACATTGCGAGAAGTGTCACAGGGAAAGAACAGTGCCTGGGATCTCGAGGAGGAACACATACCCAAACTTGGGAGCCAGAAGGATGAAGGAACTGACTCAAGGCTACACGGATGATAAGTGAAGAAGCCAAGACTAGAACCCAAGTCTTCAGAACTTCAAGTCTCATGTACTGTTCACTTTATCATGCCACCTCTGTTATTTTGAGTGAATTGCATCTGGTCAGGGTACCACCTTCCACTTATAGCGCCATCATCTATTTCGGGGATACTGTGTGGCATGTGAAATACTAAAGAATGTGAGCCCCATAGAGGCTGAGCGTGTTAAAGATCCTAGCATGAAGTGTAAAATTAGATTCAGGTAATGTTTCTGTGCTGCTTTATTTCAAAAAGTCCTTAGTGAATGTGAAGATATCTTAGAAGTTTATTTTCTTAAGTCATCCTCACTTCTCAGTATATAATTACAAAGGAAATGTGTTCTTACTTGCATTTATTATGGGAAGAAACTGAGGGATGACTCTCGGGCCAAAAGTTGCCTTGAGAGTGGCTCTCATCTCCTGTGACGTGTCCAGTCTGACACCTACACGAGAATAGTTGTGACATACACACGTAAGTGTGGCTCTTTCATCTTCTGTAATCCACCTCATTACCAGTTTTGTTTCCTGTGCTGTGGTATAGCCTTTACCCTGCGTGCAAGAAACTGTGTGAAATATCTTAAGTACAATGGGGAGAAGTCCCAAACCTGATGCCAAATTTTTGTTCTTTCTTTCAGATTGAGTGGTGAAACATTTCCACCTTTTATTATGCTTAAAATTTTCATTCCCACCAGAGGCCAGGGTTACAAGTATTTCAGTGGGAAAAAACATGTTAAAGCCCCCACTTTTGCCTCCGTATGGCCCTGCCCAACATTTATGCCTGTGACAATCACATAAAAATGTACACCGAAGGGCTTTTCAAACGGCAAAGCATTATCCATGTAAGCTAGGAACTTGAAGCATTAGGATAACAGATGAAAAAAAAAAGAATTAATTTCCTTCTTTCTGTTACTAAATGAATCTAAAATTATAGTAAAACCAGTACCATGGTACTTAAATACAAGTTCTCTATGCGAAGACAATGGACGATGGACGATGGACCTGCAATGTCGCCAGTTTACCGGGTGGGTTTTCTCTGAGGGATTCTGCTTTCACTGACATCAGAAATGGGTCTGTGGGTCAGATGGTGAAGAAGTGTATACATTGCTCAGACTTGAGGATTTTTTCAGAGGGGCTAAAATTCTCTCAATATGACTATTGCTAATGATAGAGTACTGCAATCACGGGTGATTTTATTAGGACACTATTTGGTACTATATGAGGGAAGTGTTAATGCTAGAGGTTTTTTTGTTTTGTTTTGTTTTTTGTTTGTTTTTTGCAGGGGGAGAGTGGAGGGTATTCATTTTTTTACTCAGATAGGACCATATTACTCATACTGTTCTGCACTTGCCTTTTTCACTAACACCCTATCTTGGCTATCTTTCTACTGCAGATTCATATGCAAGGCTTCAAGGTTTAACACTATGAAAGCACCAACACTTATTTAACCAGCATCATATTGATGAACATTGTATGGTTTACTTTCTTCACTGTTACATACAATACTGCAGTGAAATTAAATCTGTCAGACACAACAAAAAGCAAAATACATACCGCTGCAAAAATTGTGTGCTTTAGGAGATAAAATACTCTTTTGTCCATATGAGATAGCCAAGCTCTTTGTATTGTTAGAGCTGCAATATCTTTCTGACTTCTGAGAGAGAGAGAAAAAAGAGGTTAAGATCTGTGAAGTCGTTTTCATTTTCCTAAAATCTTAGGGAACTCTGAATTTATGCTTCCTCCTCCTGCACCTCCCCCTCCCCCACTGTGAGACTGACCTAATGAGGAACATTTGGATGTAGCAATTGGAACTGGTCATTTGCAAAATCCAGTTAGAATGAGGATATGAAATACTTGAGAATGTTTCCCTTAAGATTAAAAAACCACCCTGGCTAAAACTTTATCATCAAAAGGTATGAGTGAGTGAGTGAGTGAGTGTGTGTGTGTGTGTGTGTGTGTATGTAAAATATTGTAAATAATATGTGAGGGGGCAAACTTGTTTTCTAAAACCACCCATGACCTAAAATGTCCAACAAGTTCGAATACGAAGAAAATAGAATGTGGACTCGTCAAAGTTTACAGTAGGCTGAATTCTCTTGAAGGAGCAGACGCCCACGCCCTAGGAAAGAAACTCCTTTCTCATCTATGCTTGAACCAGGTTCAGCCCAGACAGGTCAGAGGATTACTTTGCGAACTAGCAGGTCACAGGGATCTCCCTCTCCCCAACCCCCCAACCCTGTTATTACCCCTCACAGGACCACATGCAAGGAGAGATATTTCTGTATAACGTCCATCATCACTGTTAGCTGGCAAAATGCAGGCTATAACGTGTAGAGAAGAAAAAGCCTGGAGTATGGGAAAAATCCTTTGAATCTGAGCCTATGCCATTTACTAGCTGTCTAACCTTCTACAAACCACTTACCTTCTCCCACTTGCTGGTCCCTCACGTATGAAATGCAGTGAGACTGCTTCACAGAGTTGTGTCAGGATCAAAGAGATGTACGTTAACATGCTTTGTAAACTATGAAATACTGTAATTATAATAATTAGTCAATCCAAAAGTAATTTTAAAACACACACGAACCCTATAATTTACAAAACAAGAAGTGCTTGATGTTACCTGGGTAAATACCGTACGTAAACTGTTCAGTTGTGGCAAATGATACAAGGTGAAAGATGGCTACTCACAGGGATGCTTTCTTTTTCCTTTCAATACTTGGCAAAATTACTCTGTGGCCTTTTACCCAGCTTGGATGAACTGATTTTCGAGCACCAGTAATTGCTGCCTTTGAGAAACGATTCATCTTTCTTCTACCAAAGCACTCTGAAAGTATATAAATTAAGCATTTGAAGTCATAATCTGTATTATCACACTGGATGAGACTCAAGTATCATTTGCTCATTGCACTAATTCCAGAGCCCCTTAAAAAGGAAAGCTGAGTGTATCTCTCAATATTGCTTACAGTTTACAGTTGTTTGCATACTAAAATACTATGAGGGATATGGAAAAGATAAGGGGATCTTTCCAATTACCTTCTCAATGCTCTCCCTGTCTCCAGGCTTTTTGTCCTCCTATTCTTTCTCCACACTGCAGCTGGAGTTAACTTTTTAGGTGAATAATCCAACCTTATCACTCCCCAACTTACCATCTTTCAGGGCCACCTCATTTCCTCCTGGCTGAAGTCTAGAGTCTTCGGAGTACCATTCAAGCCTTTTCACAATCTAGCTCCATTCTCTCTTTCAAATCTCAAAGTACCAACTTTCATTAGCATTCCTCTCTATCCTCTGTGAGGACAAGAACTTCTTGCCAAAAATCAGTCAATGATTTTACAATTCTGGGCTGTTGCTCATGCCACATCCTCTACCTGGAATGACTTCCCTGCCACCAGCAAACATCCATTCATTCTTGAAGACCCCCTGAGCTAATTGATGCCAATTGATGCCTCTTTTCTTAAATTTTCCACTCTTTTACAGAACTGCACACTCCTATGTCCAAGGTCCCATAATACTGGATATGTATTCCTTATACGTTACTTCTCATATTGCAGCATAATTTGTTTTCTTGGCTGTCACCCAACCAATCTCATTGAGGGGAGGAGGCACCTTGCTAACTATGGAATCCTCAACGCCTAGCAGAGCAGAGGATTTTTACATGCTTGTCTAAAAAATTTCCACTCCGATTTTGTCATGATATAGCTATGAAACCCCTAACCTCTAACCCCACCCCTAACTTCTCAGTAGCACAGTTCCCACCTTGGTAAAGTGTGAGGGTGTGTACTAAGTCATATGGTTCCATCTCTGATTCTCTGTCCTTTGATGCATTACTCTAATTTGGACGCAGTTCCCAAATTCTTAGTTACTGCTTAGTCTCTTCTACTAAACCAGGGGCTCTCTATCTCTTCTTTTGGTGTTGTGGACCTCTACGGGCACACTCCTTCAAAGAGCTGTTTTTAAAAATGAATAGCCTTGGCCAGTGTGGCTCAGTTGGCTGCAGTGCCATCCTGTAAACCAAAAGGTCACGAGTTAGATTCCTGGTCATGGCACATGCCTGGGTTGCTGGTTCCCTCCCCAGTTGGGATGCATAAGTTTCTCTCTCACATCAGTGTTTTTCTCCCTTCCTTCCCCTCTCTCTAAAATCAATAAGCATATCCTTGGGTGAGGTTAAAAAAAGTAAAAATGCATAACATAAAATATACAGGATTACGAAAAACTTCAATTATGTTGAAATCATTGTTGCAATATTTTCAGAAAACAAAATTATAGAAACATGTGCTTTTTTATGCATTAAATGAGAGCTCTAATCACTACTGTACTTGTGAAGTGGTAATGAGTAGAAATGATATCTAAAGAAGTATTCCATGACTATAACATGATATGAAGATATCTGTGCTTTCCTTTACAAAAAAAAAGATTTTATTTATTCATTTTTAGACAGAGGGGAAGGGAGGGAGAAAGAGAAGGAGAGAAACATCAATGCGTGGTTGCCTCTCACAAACCCCCTACTGGGGACCTGGCCTGCAACCCAAGCATGTGCCCTAACTGAGAATCGAATTGGTGACCCTTTGGTTCCCAGACCGATGCTGAAGCCACTGAGCCACACCTGCCAGGGCTCTGTACTTTCTATTGATGGCAAAGTCACAGGTATTGCTGATAGTACTGTGGTTTGTTGCCTCCATTATATTTGAAAGAAATGCTGAAGTTCAGTTAGAGGTTAGTAAAAATAAAGTTGTAGTTTTTCCCTATCTGACTTCACATACACCCCCTGAATTAAGAATCCTGCCCTAATTTACCACTATACTTCATATTTTTATATACATATGACATTCCATTCCTAATGCAGAGCCTTCAGAGTCTTCTCAATATTTCTCCTTAGGATTGTGGATGGGGGTGGCTTGGAATATACAATTCACTTGAGAAGGAGAAAAGCAGCCCTGAACATCTGGGAGCTGGTTGGGTACTCACAGCTGGGCTTTGGTATTAGCTTTGGTATTAGGTGGCTTCCTAACAACACCTAATTCAGAGCAAAGCCCTGCTTCCTTGAACTTGCCCCCAAATCACCCAACCAAGCCCAAATCCTACAATAAATCCTCCTAACCCCCTCTTACGGTGATGCCCCATCGTTTCCCAAAGTGCGTGTTTTCCTCTCAGCAATGAGAAAAGAAACAAATTCAGCTTGTTCAACTACAGAGGTGTTCCAAGTGGTCTTTGACTGGTGAATACCATCACATAAACCTCCCAAATCATCTAGTTGCCTGCCTGGATGGGTTTAAATGTTCTACAGCGTTAGAGCATGAAATACAGAATGAAATATCAAACACACCTCCATTATGACACACTATAACAATTATTTAGGTGAGATCACAGTCTATAAACACAGACGACCTAGGTTTGGATCCTGGCTTCCTACCTTCTGTGTGGCTTTACACAAATTACTTCTCCGTGCCTCAGTTTCCTCAGATTGGGAATAATGTCCACCGACTTCGGTTGTTGAAAAGATTAGACAAATATGTGTAAGGAGTTAGGACTGAGCTGAGCACATAGTAAACGCCATGGTAGAGCTTAGTATTCTTGTCAGTAAGGTAATCGTCATTATTACTTATTTCTACTAGTATTAGGGGACAAACATTTGATTCCTAGTTAGGGGCATACACCTACGTATACCGATGGGAAAACAAAAGGTCAGGGGCTTTGCAGACTAAAAGTGTAGCAAATTAGTTCAAACTTAAGACCGTAGAAACTTCAACCCATGGACACACACACACACACACACACACACACACACACACACACACACACACCACACCCCCCCCCCCCCCGAAACCTTTGGGGAGGTAAATCCAGGTTCCAAACTCGGCGGTTCCGGGGGCTCCGAGGCTTTCCAGCCGCCCAAGGTCCACCGGGCGCCCCCGAGCGGTGGCCTAGAGCACAAATTCTCAGCCCGCGTTACTTGGCGCCCAATCTGGGCGGGGAAAGCCGATTCGCCGAGGCGCAAGTCTTCTCGCGCCTCCCTCCTCCCATCGCTCGTGCCGCCCACAAGGAGCTGGCGGTTTCTGGCCGCCTAGCAACGGTCGGCGCAGGGGCGGAGCCTCCGGAAGGCGGGGCTTGAGTTCGCTGGCAGCGCGAAGCTCGACGCGCCGTAGCTTAGCGCCACGCGCCGCAGCTTAGCGCCACACGCCGCAGTTTAGCGCGACACGCCGAAGCTTAGCGCGCCGCGCCGCAGCTTAGCGACGTCGCTTCTAGCCCACGCTTCTGAACTAAGCTTTCGCGAGATCAACTCGGCTGTACCGCCTTCGCTCGCAACTCGGCCCACCTGCTGTCGGAAGAATCAGGGCCCTATCCGGCCGCCGTAGCCGCCGGTCTGTAGTGGGCGGGGCCTAGGCCGGGGTGACCCCGCCGGAGCCGCCGCTGCCAGCGACATGTTCAAGGTGAGACCGTGGAGTCGGGTCACAGTTGTCACCGCTCCCTCCCGGCCTCCCGGAGCTCTTCCCGCGCTCTCATGGGTCTCTCTGGGGACCAAGCCCTGTTCACCGCGAGGCTATTCTCGCCTCCGGCCGGCTGCGTCTTGCTCCGGCGGTTCATTCACTTGTCCGCTTGGAGCCGGCGGTTGCCAGGTGGAGGCGTGAGACTCCGGGGTGGGTGGGTGGGGCTATTTGGGTCGTACTCTCTTGAATAAAACCTTCTAAAAAAGTCAAGTAACCCCCAAGGTATCCACCGTCTTCCCCTGGTGCCCTCTTGGGTTTGTGGTAGGGTGAGGCCATCTCCAGGCACTGCGGGGTTCGGCTTCGGTTGCTCGGTCGGGTCAGGTTTCAGAACCTAATTGAGTGAATGGGGGAGGGCCACCCACTTGAGAAACAGTTGCAGGAAGTGGGGGTTGCTGCCACTGGAGTGGCTGGGTTGAGGGAGTGGGAAGCTGGAGCTTGCTCCTCTCCTTAGTGAACGTTATCTCGTATGGACAAGTTGACCTCTTTACATTTTATGAATTCGTGTCCTTTGAAAGAAATGGACTTGTACAGTGAAGACTTTGTTCGAAAATCTTCACTTTAACGTGAAGTTATCTTTTTACTACTTACGAAAGTAAAGGATAGTTTCTATCATGAAAAACAAGCTACCAGAAATTAGTCTGCAAGAAGCGTAACACCGATATAATAATGCTAATGAAATTTCAAAAATACTACTCAGAAGTTTTGTTGAATCCCTGCAGTGTACTTTGGGCACATTAGTACAGGCTATAAAAATCAGAACATAGATTTCACCTTCCAATCCTGGCATTGTCACATTCTAGCTGTATGACCTTGAGCAAGTCATTTAACCGCTTCGTACCTGTTTTCCTACTGGTGAAATTGGGGGAATAGCACATAGCTCATGGGGGTGTTATAAAGAATAAATAAGTTAGTATATGTAAAGCACTTGGAAGGGGCTCTGGCACATAGAAATACCATCTGGGCATTCGCTTTTATTTTGTCTTCAGGCAGCTCCCAGTTATTTGGGATGACAGATCCCATAAGCAGCTTGCATCCACTTGGTTAATTTGTGTTGAACACCCATTATGTGCTAGAAACTCAGCTCAGTTTTAATGTTGCAACGACTGGGGACATACTGTGATCAGTTTACATAGGTATCAACAATGTACTGTGGTAGTAAAAAAGGAGAGCAGTATCTTCTCTGCCTGAACCAGGGGTTCTTATCTTGAGAACCACAGCCCCTCAAAAAGTATCTGGAGAGAATCCTGGGAGACCCTGATTTCTGATGGAAAAAGAATCTTTATTTTCACTAATCTCCAACTGAAATTTCGCAATTTCTTCCGTTATAGATGTAGGCAACTGTTTCATGTATCTATTGCTGGAGTATAAACCACTGCAAGCCAGTGCCTTAAAACAGTGATTTGTCCTTGCCATCTGGAGGTTGGAGGTTGGAGGTTGGAGGTTGGCTGGGCAGTTCTGCTGGCATTCCCCCAGCAGCTGAATTCAGCTGGTGGCTACACTACAGGGTGGTCTTACTCCCATATCTGGGCGCTTGGTACCTCTCAGTGTGCCTAAGTCGGGCTTTCTCAAATGTTTACTGGGTTCCAAGAGAGCAAGTCCCAATGCGCAAACGTACCTGCTTGCTTCACATTTGCTGATGTCAAGACGGGTCACCTGGCCAACTCCAGAGTCAGTGTGGTTGGGGATTACATGGATATGAGGAGAGGTCCTGTGGTTTGCTAGGACCCATTGATTAATTAATTCTTAAAAAGTATAATCTTTGTTATATTTCTTTCCATTATCATTCTGTCCCCTTGTAACCCCTCCCCCCAGCAATCACCACACTGTTGTCCATCTCCCTGAATCCTTTTTTCCTTTTTGCTCAATCCATCCACCCGCTAACTTCCCTACCACTAACTGTCATCTGTTGGGACTCATTAAATGATAAGCTACCGCAGCAACAAATTAGTTGTATTAGCAGTTGTAGTCACCAGTAGAAGTCCAAGACCAGTGCAAGTCACAGATATTTTCACATCATATTGTTGTTGCAGATGTCATTTATGTTCATCACTACAAAATTACAGTACTTCCAGGGCTCACTGTTAGATCTTTTTTTTAAAGATTTAAAAATATCTTTAGAGAGGAAGGGAAAGAGAGAGAGATATCAATGTATGGTTGCCTCTTGTGTGTCCTCTCCTGGGAACTGGCCTGCAACCCAGGCATGTGTCCTGACTGGGAATCAAACCGCGATCCTCTGGTTCGCAGGCCCGCGTTCAAATCCACTGAGCTACACCAGCCAGGACAGATATTTTTCCTTTAATGAGCTAATAGAGAAGCACAGATTACTATATCAGATTTTGGATTTTAAAATATTTTTATAACTATTGTAATATAATTGGTATTTTAGGCAATTAGAAGCATTGCTTTGAGAAGGGGTCCACAGGACTCACCAGACTGCTAAAGAAGTCCATGGCACAAAAAGGCAAGGAACCCCTGGGGACTTCAGGAGAGGCTTCACAGTGGAGACACTAAAATTTAGTTTTGAAAGGCAAATAGTCCTCAAGGTGGATGGACTGGGGGACAGCACTGGTACTCTACTGGTGGACCTGCCATGAACTCAATTCTGCTGTGTCAAGGGAAAGATAGAGGGAGCCGAAGTGATTGAAACATGTAGTTGGAGTAGAAAAGATGCAAGAAACATTGGAGGACACCAAAATACAAGGAGTAGGTAGAGGAAGAGGGGAGGCCAGAAATGTTCGAGAAGCAACTTTCGAGAAGTGGAACAAGAAGAGTGATGTTTTGAAAACTAAGGGAGGGAAGTTTGAAGAATGACGGGCTATGTTAGGTTGCTTTCAGCTGGGTAAACCCAATTGCTTAGATAGTAAGGGAAATTAAAAAGTCCAGGGAAGGGTGGACTCCTGTGGGTCAACAGTGTCATCGAGGGCCCTGTCTCTTGGCTTTCAACAGTGAGATTGGTTCCGCTATGGTTGCAAGATAACTGCCCATAACACATGCTTTCCCATTCACTAGAGCAGGGGGTGTCAAACTCATTTTCACCAGGGGGCCACATCAGCCTTGAGGTTGCCTTCAAAGAGCCAAGATAATTTTAGGGCTGTATAAATGTACCTACTCCTTAACTGTTAAGGAGCTGAAATTACATTCGGCCTTTTGAAGGCAACTGCGAGGCTGATGTGGCCCTCAGTGAAAATGAGTTGGACACCCCTGCACTAGAGCAAGAGAGAGGACAAGATTCCCATGCTTGGATCATGCTCTTCCTTCAGTCTGATCTGACCAACTTAGGTCAGGTGTCTGCCCCTGTCCCTTTAGGAGTCATGACCCTTCAGTGGCTAGGGATATGCCATGCTCTGATTGACTTAGACACAGGATCATATCCAGATAGGGTCACTTCACCTTAATCACATAGGAAGGGAATTAATTCATGAGCACAGTGAGGGAATGGAGACTGGATGCACAACCAACAATGTCCATTACAGAAAGATGAGTTCAGTGAGTTTGGGGAAGCATTTATTGATTTGGGCAATTTGGAAAGCTTTCATGATACATGTAGGTTTAACTAATGGAAGTGAAAGCTGGATTAACATGGTTGGAGACTGAGAGAAGTGTAAATGTGCACAGTGGTTGATAAGCTTGACCGTCAAGGGAAGGAGAGAGAATATGCTGCCAGAGGGACATGTCGGGTCAAGATTCTAGAGTTGTTTTCTGGTTGTTGGAGTATTCAAGATGTAGCAGTGTATATGGCCTAGGGAGGAGTGTGGGGAGGGAGCTTTTACAAGAGAGAGTTCCCCAGCTTTCGAAGGAGGAGAGAGATTCCCTCCCTCCTGGGAGGTGGAAGGAGAGGGATGGAGTGATTGTGGACACTGGTTCTCATCTGGATGGTACCACCCCTCCTGAGTACTTGAGTTGTTCTTTACATCTTTAGTTGTGTTGAGCACTTATATATTGAAATATAATTCTTACAAATCTTTCCTTTTTGTTCTCCGTGATGGTGCCATCAAATCAGTCTGCTGCTCTCTTTTGTTGGACGTATGCTTGTAACTAGGTGATGAATTTCATTCAAGCATAGCAAAAGAGTTAACTTTGAAAATAATCTGTCATAAAATGGTGGTGTTAGGTCTGGTTGTTGAGAACCAGTGCTTCTCAAACTGTAATGTGCATGCGACTCCCCACAATGCAGCTTCTGATTCAGTAGATCTGAAGTGGGGGCTCAGGTTGTCCATTTTTAACATGTTCCTGGGAGATACAGATGCTGCTGCTCCCCCATCATGCTTTTAATAGCAAGAACGGAGACAAATTGATAGATGAATGGTTTCTTGTGTTTTCAAGTGAGTAGTTTTATGAGTGTGGTGGAATTTGGAAGAGGCACTGACCAAGGAACAAAAAAGATAAGTGAGAGTCCTTGAAGGGCTCTGCTGAGTGCTGCTAGGGCAGGTCTGTCGTGAGTGCAGCTCGGGAGAGGGGACAGAGCAAATAGTAGGATTGATCTGGCTTTGTGAGTTATCAGCTTGGACCAGCTAGGACCGGAGGGCAAAGGAGTTGATAGTATAGGTGTTGGCAGAAAAAGTACAGTGTGTGTGTGACTAGTTACGTGCATATACCATTAAAATGTTTGAACTGTAACTGTTTTGATGTAGCCATTCATCTTCACGTCAGTAGAGGGCACTGAAGGATTAAAAACCACATTTGAAAGGCTGGCCAGAATTTGAATTTCATTGCAGGAAGCAGTTTTTCAGGCTGCTGCTTTAGGAAGCTTGAATGTTGAATAGGTACACGCAGTTCCCAGATTCACATTCATAGATTTCATTCATTACACAAATGTTTACCATGGTCCAGCTATGGCCTGGCCACCGTTTTGTGCCCTGGCAGGTATAAATGAAAAGACCCAGTTTTTACCTTAGGAGAGAGTCCCCAGATTTGGCTGTACATCAGAATTAGTCAAGCGATAA